GGGCCAGCGCCCTACTCACTGAGCCACAGGCGCCACCAAGATGCAACAGTCTTATCATTGAACCCATTTTTTGTCATTTAACCAATGTTTATTATTCTACAAATATTATAGAGCAAAGTACTGTGCTAAGGAAGATGAAGCGTACAGAATTGAATGTGAGATGAAATTTGCTTTCTAGTCCTGAATTAATCTATAGTAGGACCTCTGCGAGTTGACCACCGGAGGGACTGTCACAAACTGGTCAACATATGGAGGTGATCAACATAAGGAACTAGGCCTGCTGTGCTAATGCATACATGGGGTGCTTGTCCAGTCTATGAAAATTAGGTCAATTTAAGGAGATGGTCACTGTAGGGAGGTGGTCAACTACAGAGGTTCTACTGTAATTTGTCACTCAAAGTTTCAGGGAAGCCTTGAGCAGAAGGAAAGACTTCGGACCTTCTGTGGAACTACAGATTCTTAGGGAGAAGCTTAGCTATCTTCTTGTAGGATTATTTGCCTTGTCATTTCTAATCATTAAGGGACTTGGTTCAATATGAACATGTGTCAGCAATAAGACAAAATCATCTAACCCAATCATTTTGATGTGACTCAGCCAAGGTGTCAGGCACATTCCCACATTCTTACGTTAATTTCTTTTTGTTTGTTTGTTTGTTTGTTTGTTTGTTGCAGTTTTTGGCTAGGAGCTGGGTTTGAACCCACCACCTCCAGCATATGGGGCCGGTTCCCTACTCCTTTGAGCCACAGGTGCCACCCCCATTCTTACATTAAGTTTTTAAAAATATCTTCCTATGCACTTTCCTGCGGCTGTGCACAGGCATTATTTGGTTTTGCTGGTAATGTCCTGGTTAAATAATCCCACGTGATGGCTAACCTGGGAGTATGGACTTAGCTATATATTTTCTTTGACTTCCTCTTTCTCTTTGTATTTTTTTTCCAGATAAGCTATGCCTTAAACCATACTAACAGAAAACTAACACTGGAACCTAAAATAACGGTCAATGCTAAGATTGTTGTGGTTGGTGCATCTAGTGTTGGAATTTCCTTCCTAGAGACGCTGGCATTTTGGTGAGTTGTTTTACTTTATTTATTGATTTTTAAATAGTAAAAATTATCTTCCTACACCTGAAGAGATCCCCTTGTGAGAACAGACCTGAGTCTGTTTGCTGCCCCCCACACCTTGCCTTTGTGGATTAATCAGTAGAATTTTCTAGATCACGGGCTAGAAAACTATAGCCTGGGTTTCCACTTGCTTCTGTAAATACAACTTTATTGGAACAAAGCCACACTTATTTATTTATGTATTATCTGGGGCCATTTTTGTGCTACAGCAGAAGATGTGATGAGTAGTTGCAAACAGCACGTGGCCTTAAACACCTAAAATATGTCCTCTCTGGCCATCTCCAGGAAAAGTCTGCTACACCCTCTTCTGAATGTTCCTCTTACTGGCCAGACCCTGAGAATCACCTGGTACATTTGTTAAAGACGTAGATTCCCAACACCGAACCGACATCCAAACCCAGGGACTCCTGGGGAAGAGTGTAGGAATCTGTGTGTTAACAGGTCCTCCATGTAATCGGACAGCCAGGACCCTTCTTCCAAGCCCCGCATTGTGGGCTCCAGGGAGCAGGGTAAACCCTTCAGGGAAGACAGAGGCCTCTGTGTCACTTCTGTTTTCTCATCGTTCTCAAAGTGCCAACCAGGCTTTCTTTCAGAGCCCATTTTCCCCATAGGTGATTCTCAAGGATTCTTCATATCAGGGTGTATCTTTCCATCTGCTGGTGAATGTCTGCACCTCTTCAACAGGAAGAGCCCAGGGCTGTGGCCCGAGAACTCGGGGTCCTGGCCTGGCATCTCCAAGGGAGGTGCATTGTCCACTTCCTCTCGGCTTTGATGTCTTCCTTGATTTGTTTGCAAAGTCTCATAAATGTTTTAAAAAGCCTTACTTCAGAGGATCACAGAGCCCTAAATTAGAAGAGTCTAGTTTTTTCCAAATCTTTTGCTCAGGATCACATGAGAAACCACCTATCTTTCAAAACTGCAGGTGCTAAGATGTAAATAGGACACAGCCCACCACGGACCATCCTAGAAGCTGGCGAAGTGAGCTCGGAGAAAATAGGTGGGGCTTTGTGAGGGGTAGATAAGAAAAGGGGCGGAGGAAATGACCCTGGAAAGGTGTTTGGCCTGCTGAACAGCGAGGCACGCTCGCTTCAAATGGTGACTTTGCTCATTTGACATAACATTACCAGATAAAGAAAAGATTTTTTCATTTTCTAGCCAATTTGTTCAATTCTCCAGAACATACCCTTAGTTAACCAGAAATAAATGACACATCGCTATTGAAGTTAGCCACAGAACTCCCTTGCTTTAGATGATGTGGTCAGTTTGCAGCAGGGAATCAGTGAGCGGCCCCTGGGCTGCTGGCCTTCGCTGCGTCATGCTGAGGTGGAGAGCCCTGCCCGTGCTAGTGGGTCCCTCCGTCTAAACCTTCTAAGCAGCAAGTCTTATGCAAGCGTTTCTGAATGATGAATTATCAGGGTAGAGTTGCAAAATTATAGTCATTAAGAAGTTATCATAAATAGGTCTCAAATCTCAATTCAGTGTTGTACTTAGTCATAATGTTTGATTTAAATGGTTACATTGAGATATATACATGTAATTTTCTTTTTGTAGAATCAACTTAGATTTAATAAAGATAAGTTTAAATTTTGATCTAAGTATTGGGTTGATTAAATTTCCCAATCAAACAGACCTTTCTGGAGCATTTTGTAGTATTCATAATTCTCTATCATTATACAGATTAAGTACACCAAAGATAGACTGGTATCAGTTTACGGATCTCCAATCCTTAAGAGAGGAAATAGTTTTCTCATTATTTTCTCTAATTATTTTAAATTAGCAATCACCATAGTAACTCCTGCATATTTTACTCTCCCAGTTTGCTCCCGTTTGAATTTAACTTTATACATGACTTGAACCAGGATGAAATTGAAGAAATAAAAGTTTCACAAAACACTGCCCACCAGTAAGGATTAAATCCACATTTTTGAAGCAAGATTTAGGAAAATCACCCTCCTTGTACTCTCGAGCTGCACTGCCAGTCTCAGCAGAGGAACCGTGCTTTCCAGAAAATTCGTCCAATGTCCAGTACAGCGAACTCTTCCAGAAAATTTGGTAATTCTGTCATCTGATGATGCAGCAGCCACAACTTTCTGTTCTTATATTATTTCCATGCAAGAAGTTATGAGGTACATTTGGTGTCCTCTTGAAAGGATGCCAAAGCAGTGCTTGCATAACTTCTGCGTCCTTGGCATGTCCTTCCTTCCCTGAGAGCTGAAGTGCTTTGCAGAAAGTCACCACCGGCTGCCCTGAGACACAGGGAGGGAACACTGAGGGTGGTGGTCTGATTTTGTGTAACTCCAGCTTTGTCTCTGGTCCCCAGCTGCTCCCATCTACAGTCGCGTCTGCACAGACAGCATTGTTGTCTTTGCTTGTCCCACCTCCTCCTTCTCGGGGAGCTTCTCTGGCCCTCCAGGGCTGAGGACATGTGTGGCAGGCTTTTCCCTAGGGACACACCCTGTTCCAGCCTTTCATCTCCCTTGCCTCACATCCTCCTGGTCCTGGCCCTGAGGCTCTTCCAGTGCAGTGTGGAAGGCAGGGCCCAGCATCCTTCAGGATGGGATGAGGCTCAGCTAATTGTTCCTGCTCCCGTCTCACGCATCTGGCTTCTGACAGCACCGTGCAGCCCCTCTGAGGGGAGCTGAGAGGAGAGAATCCCGGCCGCTTTCCCATCCCCGCCCTGCCAGGGCATGGGCCTCCATGGAGAGCTCAGAGCTGGGCATGGGCAGGACAGCAGGGCAGAGCGAGGGCCCGGGGGCAGTTGTCTCTGGGAGGGGCTGAGAGGAAGGACACCCTAGCTGCCCCATGGAGTAGAGGGTAATGAGTTGAAGGGAGAGTCCAGGTTTCACCAGCTATGGTGTGCACCAAGGCTAGCCCTGCTGAACACCCCGGTGCTATACTTTGAATATTTTAGGTTTTCTACAAAAAATACTCCAAAATCACCTTTAAAAAGAAATATGAAACTTCTCTACCTAAAAAGCCCAGGAGCCCGATTTCTGAACTTCTGTTTTCACGCACCCTTTGCTCCCAGCGTGGGCTGGGATGCGCTGGCATCTCCTGCAAGCTGGTCAGAAATCAGAACCTCAGGCCCTGCCCCAGACAGACAGATTTCCCCAGCAGCGTGCAGAAGCTTCTCCGCGAGCAGCCCCAGCTCGTGCACCTCTGTGTCTCTCCAGCCTCCCCCCCCAACTGTGGGGCATTTCCTTTCAATCCATTATTTTCAAGTCCTTCCTGATTTAATTCTGGCATGAAGAATCTCTTGAAGAGCCTATAATGGTGTAGAAAAGATCTCAGTTGTCAGGGGTGGTGGTGACTGACAGCCTCCCCGAAGGTGTCCCAGCGCCCCTGTGTGCGACCAGACAGATGCATAGTGACTCTCAGAAGGTGCTGTGGGCCCTGGGATGCCTGAGCCCCTGAGTCTTCTTCTGCTACTGAGAAGAGTTTTCTCAAAAAACAACCAAAACATCTCACCAAAAGATGAAGTCGCAGATTTTTAGCCTAGACATTGATCACCCCTCTGGTTGAGTGTATTGAGGTTACTAAGACTAGTTTGGAACTAGCAGGGCATGTTTTAAAAGCTACAACTGTGGCCAAATGACTGTGAGTCCTGTTATCGGGCCATGCAGTTCCGCACAATATCCGGCACAGCTGTGGGCTCTGGCAACCGCCAGCCCAGCGCTTGCAGCTTAATTAGGCTTTTTATCTTTACATTTGTCTGAGGACATCTGAAACCTTCAGTGTGGCCTGTCACTAATTAGGTGACTAATTAAATAGTCAGCACTTCCTTGCTGATCTCAGAGCTAAACCGCTATGAGGAAGCAGGTTTGTGATTGTGACTGTCCTGTCCTCTCGGTCTCTGCCACGTGAATCGATGAACGTGCCCCCCACCCCACTGCCCTGTGCAAAAGCAGCAGTGTGGTGGTGAGGCCCGTGCACACAGGACTGCCGTCCCACAGGCCAGGGCAGCAGGCAGTGACTTGGGGCAGAGCCCCAGGGCTGTATCCCTACGCTGGAATCCCAGTGGGGTTATCTGGTGGCTGGAGCAAAGGGGGCGAGGGACAGTGCACGGCAGGCCCAGAGTTTCGGCCTCCTGGGGCAGGAGGACTTGACATTCTGCCATCAGAAAATAATGACCCAGAACGCTCCCTGGTGTCACTAATCACAACTGGGCTTCCTAATTTGATTCCAATATTTAAATGTAATTAATGTTAAATAAAAGTACCTTCATTTACAGAAATTACCCGCTCCTGCTCACTTCAGTATACCTTCTCTTCTCTCCTAATACTCACTTCAAAAACTCCCAGAACAAAAGAAAAGCAGTCCACTCTGAGCAGCAGTGGGCCTTTCCGGTGGAGACAGAGCAGCTGATTATCATTGTTGGTGGCTGCGTTGTGGTTCTTTGGGGTGAAGGTGTTAAGTAGGAAATGCATTTCCGTGATCATACAAAGTGCAAACCACATACAGGAACACGGTGGTGTGCTCGCTGCTCAGTCTCCGTCTCTACTTGGATAAGTGGGGTTGTGTTCCTAACAGTGGGCTCAAGTGGTTTATTTGGGAGTGACCCTAAGGGACTGCCTGAGAGAGCAGGGCAGTGAGATGGGGGAGGGAGGCCGCCGCCGCAACCAAGAGACAAACCACCGGGGGCACCCGAGGGCCCCCATTCCTGCTGGGACCCTCCGAGGCCAGCAGCTGAGATTGGCCCCTCTGAGGGGAGGCTGGGATTTTACCTACTAGTTCCTGCCTTGGTTACTGTGTGATCACTGTGGGGGGTTCTTCCAGCCCATTCCTCTAGCTCCTTGGCCCGAGAATGGCCTTAGGCTAAGTGTGGCAAGGGGTCACTGGATAGGAGGGTCAGCTACAGGTGACCAGGTGGGCCGGGATGAGGGCCCCAGCAGCACCTCCCTGTGCCTCAGTTTCCTTAGCTTGTTCTCATCTTATTAACATTCTCA